ATGGGGAACTACTGCTCAGGAAACAGATCTCCAGGGGCTAAGTATGTATTACGAATGATTCGCCAACCAGTGTTACTGTTGCCATAAAATATCACTAAATTAGGTATAAGTAAAAAACGTTTAAGTTAACGTTGTCTGTCCTAAGAAGATTGTCTTCATCCTTTACTTACTATTATTATTCAGGTATATATTACAAGAAAATATATCTTCGGGTTATCTATCTGTTATTTTCTTTCTTTCTTTCTTTCTTTCTTTCTTTCTTTCTTTCTTTCGTTCGTTCGTTCGTTCGTTCGTTCTCTTCTCGTTCCGTTTCTGTCAGACGCAAATCAAGGCGGTGCTTTTTTTTTGTGAAACGTCACGAATCGAACTGACCAATCACAGGCGAGAAAACAGTTCATTTACATATGTAAACGGACCTGCCCATCCTATAGTGAATTTTAACACAACAGAGCATAGCACACGCGTTTACACACATACCGATATGCACGCAGATACACACACATTTGGATAAACACACATAGATACACCTTAAATTCAAATATACTGGGCCTACATACATACACAGAATAAAATCTCAAATAATAATAATAATAATAATAACAATAATGAAACGCGGGAAAGTATGCACATTGCCGTGTAGTATACAAACACACAGAAAAATACAAGCAAAAAAAATACTGCGGAGTACACAAATGTGGATGCTCCATGAATAATTATTTTTTATCTTTTATTTTCACATACAGAGAAATATGTCGTGTGCATATATCGGACTGCCACTTACACACACACACACAGACACATACATATATGTGTGTGTGAGTGTGTCTATTATATTTTATAATATAAGTGGAAGTCCTATGCCTATATATCCTATATCACATATTTCTCTGTATGTGAAAAAGATAAGAAAAAGAATTAATGTGTGTAACGCAGTAAATAGTACAATAGTACACTACGTACACACATTCAGCTTAATGGCTCAGTCGATAGTGTGTGTGTGGGGGGGCTTTAACATTTTGTCTAAATACTGCCTTAAATTTTGGCCTTAAGCAAGTGCTTTATGAGTTGGATAACCTATACAGACTGTATTTCTTTGAGGTATCTCTGATGACAGACAACGAGCAATAAACCATGGCAATTAAATGGGATAATCAAACAAGATTTAAATTAAAGTTGTCAGCCCCCTCTTTTCGGTGGTAGGAGAAAATACTTTGCACGGTACTTGAGGACCGCGTGTTTTCTTTAAAAACAAAATAATGAATTCCCCCCCCCCTCACCCCAATGTCATTTTAAAATTTCGAGCGTGTGTATGTGTTTATGCCTGTCTTGCTATTATTCAACATACTTCAGATAAGTTCATTAAAAAAATCCGCAACATATGAAAAAATAAACAATGCTTTGTACAATAATGTAAATAAAAATGCATATTCATAGATTCTGCATTGTATTTTTCCCAATTAAGAAAAAAAAATCCTTAATCTGACGGGAATACGCATGTATGGACATATACATACTTGCTTAGTTGATACACAATATGGATCATTATGGCGTATATCTTACCATGTCTATTATTATTGAGTTTTACGAATCAAAATGCTTACACACGTAAGTAACATTTTTACGCATACCTACGCACACAGATGAAGTAAAAAGAAAATCTTTCAGAAGCGTCTAAAAAGAAGTAATGGTGAGAGGTGTTCTTATTGCGAGAGTGGCGGCGTAAAGGTGACGAGAAAGAGTAAAGGGCGGAGATATAAGACTGTAAAAGTGGGAGTAAAAGGAGGAGGAGTAGCGGAAAGAGGAAATAAGAGAGCAGGGGAAAAAGGAGGAGATTGCCAAGAAGGCTGGTAGCAGTTACGGGAGGAAAATGGAATTTCTGTGATAGTGGCAGTGACAGGAGTAGGAAATGAAGAAGGAGGAGGGAAACAAATTTGGAAGATGATTATAATAACGACTGAACAGAGGCGACGAAACGTTCCGCCTGCACGTCTACGGATGGCTGTAACAGCTTAAAATAGAAACTCGAATAGGAAAATATTACATCAAGCTTTCCATTGACTGAACATGGTTACGTCGTCAAATTGAAAGAAAACATATCTATCTATCTATCTATCTATCTATCTATCTATCTATCTATCTATCTATCTTAGTTTGTTTATATATATCTGTCTATCTAGCTCAATTTGTTCATAACTATCTATCTATCTACCTATCTATCTCAGCATGTTCATATCTATCTATCTATCTCATTTTGTTTATGTATGTATGTATGTATGTATGTATGTATGTATGTATCTATCTATCTCAGTTTGTTCATATCTATCTATCTATCTCATTTTGTTTATGTATGTATGTATGTATGTATCTATCTATCTCAGTTTGTTCATATCTATCTATCTATCTATCTATCTATCTCAGCCTGTTCATATCTATCTATCTATCTATCTATCTATCTATCTATCTATCTATCTATCTATCTCAATTTGTTCATATCTATCTATCTATTTTATTCTAAAATTCATGGGCACGTCATAAGAGCCAACAATCTTACCCCTGCATCCATACAAGTATAGCACTTTAGGCCAAAAAGAAGAGTTAGTCAAAGGAAAAAAATAGATTCAAAGTAGGACAACTGCATTATGGCGCGCACCCTTTCAAGTGGCGAGAGAAATTTATCAACTTTGCAAGCGGTCTTACCAATTCCACGTGTAGGTTGCTTTGTTAATAGATTTTACTGTTCGAGAATTTAATGCATAATTTTTAATCGGGTACCAAGTGAAGTTCGAACACGCTACCCAGTAGTAATGGTTAGCCCGAGAAACCTCGCTAAGCATCAGGCTAAGTCGAGGCACATTTGTTGAGCGGTGAGGCCTGAAAGGGAGAAATCAAACTCAGGAATGCATTAGAACAAATAAATTGTCAACTTTAGCGACACCAGAGAAGAACTTTATGAACTATCTTTTTTATCACAATAGATAGAAATAGTTAATCTAAATGTTGTATGAATAAACTATATTTTACTGTTTCACTTCCTTCTCAGAAGAGAAAAGTATTGTGGGTAAATTGAAAGACGAAGTGAAAAGAAAAAAAAAACTGAGACGTAATGTGCTAAACTGAGAAAATGGCATTGAAGAGAAAGAACAATAAAAGAAGGCGGTTCAAAAACACAACAAATGATGATTAACTTTGTATTTAAATTTTTTTAATATCATAGTTATCAAGAAAGAAAGAATCCAGAAGAGAGTTCCACTGCCGAGAAGTGTAAGGAAAGAAACTATTAGTATAAAATTTACGGTTACCTTTGGTAATTTCAACAATAAAATGATGAGACCTAACTACCAATCCAGTACTATGCTTAAATTCATGAAGTCGAGTTACCAAAGAATGCTCACCCGAACAACAGCCATGAAAATATTTTTAGAAAATACAGAAGAAATCACTTGAAGTAATTGTTAGACAATACAAATTGATGTGTAAAGACGAGATAACTGAAAAACAAAAGACATTAAACTCATCGTTGCGCGAATTTGCGACACCTGAAAACTAATAAAGAAACAGACTGCATATCTACAGATTCAACCTTATTAATCATCAAGCAGTTCTTCGTTGATGGCTTCAGCCAAAACCGCTTAAAAGACATAAGAAATTTTATGATAGAATTCAACCTAGAGATCAGAAAAATTGTGCGTCCGGAGTTAGACGATAAACTACATCCAACAGCAAGGCCTCTGATCAGGAGATTTTGAGGAGCGTGGTACCCCTTCTTAATTGCGGATATTTCCAGGTCCACCCTGACCCGGGGTGGTAACACCTGTTAGGGTCCCAGCTATGGGCAAATAGTTGACACCCAAACTGGGGTCAAAACACTATGAAAGTGTAAAAATAGGTTTTAATACATACCAGAAATACTTTTTAAAAATTATTATTATTTTTTTTTTTAAAAAAAGAAAAAAGATATTACCAACTATAGTTTATTTTGAAAGAAAATATTACCAGCAATAAAAAATTTGTCAACATTAAATAACCCATTGAGGTTTTGATATGTCGTAAAACAAACCAAACCAACCCTAAACCAGAAAAATTCTCCGAACTGAAGAAAAACTATGTAAAGAAGTCTTTTTATATACTATGGTTCAGCCGATGCAAGGCTCGAGAGCAACTCAAATTAGAGTTTTAATGTTATAATGTTTCTGATAAATGATGTGTCGATATGAATGACTTGGTAGGATATGAAGATTATGAACATAAAGAGGACAGATAGGGTCCAAGGAAATACACAGGCGAGAACCTGTTTCATAAAGATGAGATTTTTTTTTGGGGGGGGAGCACTCTGAGGAGATCATTTGGGATACGGAAAAAATGAAGGTGATTTTATTATGTAGAATGTAATATGGCGTGTCCTAGCCGTAAAGGTCTGAACTGGTGGAACGAAAAAACAGAGTTCGTTTGAACCTTTGCCATACAAATAACAATAGCGTGGCGATAGGGTTGTGAAGCTGCGCCTGTAGAGGGAAGAATAAGGTCATCACCCACAAGACCGCGTAAATGATTTTGAATTCTCTCAAGGTTGCAAAATGATGATTGGGTAGCATCAACATAGTTATACAATGACGTTCACCTTGTACAAAACCCAAGAGCCACTCGAGGTAGAAGGTTACAGAGTAAGACATACCTCTGCGAAGACGAAGGAAGATAATGCCACTAAGATGCAAGGGGTCACCGGAAGTGAAAAAGAAGGAATCGGAAACCCCAATCCTAAGCAGGAAACAAGGCAGAAATATTTCATTTTTGGTCGGGTAGGGCTCTTGTAAAGATAAAACATAGCAGATGTCAGGTACTTACTTGAGGCTTAGAATGAGCTGACGATTTTTCCAGCGGAAATGGATTGTAAATATGAATTCCACGTGGTCTGGTCTCAACATTGACCCAATCGGCGTTCGAAGCACGGAGCCTCGTTGGGAGTGCAATCTTACATTGTGACGAGAGAAAAATGTCAGTGTCTGATCTGTGAAGGTTAAATGATACTAGCTTCGGTTTTTGAGGTAGTAAATTTTACAGGGCAGTTTTATCCCCTATTGAGCTGTTGAAGCAAGGACAGATGAGCTATCAAACTTCAAATTATCTTGATTTTTGGAAGTGTGTCTATAAACGGAGACGTTTACTAATAATCTGAGAATGTTCTTCTGTATATTGATAACTGGTATGGTGCAGGTTTTCGTGCCAAAGAAGAACAACACAAAGACAAGAGTAGAAATAACGAAGGTATATTACACGAAATAATAATACAAAGATGTGGAAGGTGTTAGTATGACTGTCAATCTGGTTTGGAGTGAACTACTATCGGCCATTGTTATGGTCCAGGTTAGGACCAAGGAAGAACAACACGAAGACAAGAGTAGAAATAACGAAGGTATATTACACGAAATAATAATAGAAGATGTGGAAGGTGTTAGTATGACTGTCAGTCTGGTTTGGAGTGAACTACTATCGGCCATTGTTATGGTCCAGGTTAGGACCAAGGAAGAACAACACGAGGGCAAGTGTAGAAATAACGAAGGTATATTACACGAAATAATAATACAAGATGTGGAATATGTTAGTATGACTGTCAGTCTGGTTTGGAGTGAACTACTATCGGCCATTGTTATGGTCCAGGTTAGGACCAAGGAAGAACAACACGAAGACAAGAGTAGAAATAACGAAGGTATATTACACGAAATAATAATACAAGATGTGGAAGGTGTTAGTATGACTGTCAATCTGGTTTGGAGTGAACTACTATGAGCCATTGTTATGGTCCAGGTTAGGACCAAGGAAGAACAACACGAAGATAAGAGTAGAAATAACGAAGATATATTACACGACATAATAATACAAGATGTGGAAGGTGTTAGTATGACTGTCAGTCTGGTTTGGAGTGAACTACTATCGGCCATTGTTATGGTCCAGGTTAGGACCAAGGAAGAACAACACGAAGACAAGAGTAGAAATAACGAAGGTATATTACACGAAATAATAATACAAGATGTGGAAGGTGTTAGTATGACTGTCAATCTGGTTTGGAGTGAACTACTATCGGCTATTGTTATGGTCCAGGTTAGGACCAAGGAAGAAACAACACGAAGACAAAGTAGAAATAACGAAGGTATATTACACGAAATAATAATACAAGATGTGGAAGTTGTTAGTATGACTGTCAGTCTGGTTTGGAGTGAACTACTATCGGCTATTGTTATGGTCCAGGTTAGGACCAAGGAAGAACAACACGAAGACAAGAGTAGAAATAACGAAGCTATATTACACGAAATAATAATACAAGATGTGGAAGGTGTTAGTATGACTGTAAGTCTGGTTTGGAGTGAACTACTATCGGCCATTGTTATGGTCCAGGTTAGGGACCAAGGAAGAACAACACGAAGACAAGATGTGGAAGTAGAAATAACGAAGGTATAACACGTATAAATAATAATACAAGATGTGGAAGGTGTTAGTATGACTGTCAATCTGGTTTGGAGTGAACTACTATGAGCCATTGTTATGGTCCAGGTTAGGACCAAGGAAGAACAACACGAAGACAAGAGTAGAAATAACGAAGGTATATTACACGAAATAATAATAGAAGATGTGGAAGGTGTTAGTATGACTGTCAGTCTGGTTTGGAGTGAACTACTATCGGCCATTGTTATGGTCCAGGTTAGGACCAAGGAAGAACAACACGAAGACAAGAGTAGAAATAACGAAGGTATATTACACGAAATAATAATACAAGATGTGGAAGGTGTTAGTATGACTGTCAATCTGGTTTGGAGTGAACTACTATCGGCCATTATTGTTATGGTCAGGTTAGGACCAAGGAAGAACAACACGAAGACAAGAGTAGAAATAACGAAGGTATATTACACGAAATAATAATACAAGATGTGGAAGTTGTTAGTATGACTGTCAATCTGGTTTGGAGTGAACTACTATCGGCCATTGTTATGGTCCAGGTTAGGACCAAGGAAGAACAACACGAAGACAAGTGTAGAAATAACGAAGGTATATTACACGAAATAATAATACAAGATGTGGAATATGTTAGTATGACTGTCAGTCTGGTTTGGAGTGAACTACTATCGGCCATTGTTATGGTCCAGGTTAGGACCAAGGAAGAACAACACGAAGACAAGAGTAGAAATAACGAAGGTATATTACACGAAATAATAATACAAGATGTGGAAGGTGTTAGTATGACTGTCAATCTGGTTTGGAGTGAACTACTATCGGCTATTGTTATGGTCCAGGTTAGGACCAAGGAAGAACAACACGAGGGCAAGTGTAGAAATAACGAAGGTATATTACACGAAATAATAATACAAGATGTGGAAGGTGTTAGTATGACTGTCAGTCTGGTTTGGAGTGAACTACTATCGGCCATTGTTATGGTCAGGTTAGGACCAAGGAAGAACAACACGAAGACAAGAGTAGAAATAACGAAGGTATATTACACGAAATAATAATACAAGATGTGGAAGG